CATGGTACGCAGTTTTGTGGAAGGGACAAATAAACAGTTATGAGAATGTCTTACAGTACGTAGCTCTTTTAGCATATCCCCTGAGAATGCTGTCGAAATCGAATCCACTTACAAACCTTCCGCTGGAACAATTGGAAGAGCACTCATCAAAGCTATTGATTTTTTCAAAGAAGTGGATTATCGAGAAAAACTGTCGTTATTGCTTAGTGAATTGTTTTTCAGCGCATTCTTCGAGCTTCCAATCGAGTAAGAGATCCGAATATGTGGAAATACGACTGGCAGCGAGCAATTATGGGGCAAGATTGGAGACCTCTTACGAAGATGCACGAGAAAGGATTTAGAACGGAAAAGATTGTTGACAAAGTGAAAAGGTATTGAGTAATTTCCATGCAAAGGATGGCCCAAAGTTAGAAGCTGTGCAATTGTTCGGAAACTTTGTTTTAGAGGGGAAAATTGAAGAATTTTGGATGGGCAAGCTTGGCTCTCTTGTCCTCCTGTATTGATGCTTGTACACTAGTGTCTACGCAATCGAACTTTAGAACCATAAGAAAAAGTCTGGACATGTTGAAATCACTTCTAGGTTATATTAGGTTGTAACATAAGTCTTGTTCCACTTAAGCTATTTAAAGCGGTAAGTCGTATTCTTCAAGTTTTTAACATGGCTCCAGGGTACCATTCGATAGAGCAAAACAAGCTCTACAAGAAATTGGGCAAAAGTTTGCACTAGCTTCGAAGCTTTGATATGCATCCAGAATCTGAGTGGTACTGAAGGCACCAATAGGGAAAAACTTATATCTTCGTTCAAAAAAGCCCTGCGGATCTCCAACTTGCTCACACAAATTGGAAATCACATCACACACTCATACGTACATCGCTCTAATTTCTCCTCATTTAAAAATCGAGAAGATAAAAATTTTTATACTTATATGAAAATGAAGCATGCTTTTTCCACTCATGTAATTGTATACTACAAACTATCATTAGGCTGGCTCAAAAGTGTTTGGATATTTTCAGACTACATCTGCTATTTCTCGAAACCTAACGCATGTACATCCGATAGAGCAAAGCAACCCCAAAAACGGCATTACTGTTTTTGCACCAAGTTTGATCCATGTGAAATTCGAAGGC